ATTCAGCCATTCTTGCAATATGATATTTTAGTTTAGTTAGTGATCCTGTCGGTTATAATTCTGTAAAAACTGCTTCATTTTTCTAAAATTCAACTTAACTGAAATGTTGTCATCTCTTCAAAAGCCATGCAGTGATGTGGGTCAATCACAGAGCTGGGAGCCAGGATGCCTGCATGCTACTCCTACCTCTATACACTTGTAGCACTTTACAAAGCATAATTTAGGTAAAGAGTCAGTAAATATATTCCTGTTTCACAGAGGGGGAGATGGAGGCCCAGCAAGGTTAGAAGTTTATTCATTAAATCACATGTAGCTATACACAATATACTACTGTTTATTTATATGATCAGAGCCTTAGTTATGGACTAGGACCCCATTATGCCTGACACTGTACAAACTCAGACCAAAGATGGTACGTGCACTCCAAATAAGAATTTTACAAAGGTGTAGTACACAGTACGCTTTCATTAAATAAATTGTTTTTACATTAACATTTAGTATAAAACAATACACATTTTGTGAAGAGCACGAAAAACAACAACTTTGCAGTTTAACATAAGTACACTTTTACAATCAACTGCAACACTTTGATCAGCCACCAATCATTGTATTAATTTTATTTAAAAAAAAGTGGAATCTATTTGTCACACAGCAATTGTCTAGTGCACCTTCAAACTGAATTGCTTTTGAAAACAATTAAAATTGACATTTGAGTCAATTGATGGTATTCATAATTTCAGTTGACATTTCATTTTTACATCTGTAAAAAAGCTCAAGTCGGACTCTGAATTTTAATTCTGGATTAACAAGAAAATTGTAAGGAGATATTAGAAATAGGATTTAAATATAAATGTCCTCCCTACTGATGCGCAAAAAAAAAAAAGTTTCGTTGATTAAACAAAAAGCACTAGTAGTTTAACAGAATTGTTAAAAAGTGAGATTTTTTTTCCAGATGGCAGCATCAGTATCTTGTTAACTTAGGTTATAAAAGGAAGTGTAACCTACAGAACTGATCGAATAGTCAAAAGACAGAAGGGTCTAGGACCATATCCAGATAATATAGGGAGAAGCAACAGGCAAGCATAAGAAAATCTACATGGTGCTAAGAATAATAGCAAAGATGGTAGTCCCCCACTTACAGGGTTAACACTTCTTGTTTTTGCAAATGTATATATGCCATTCATTTTAAACTTCATGTATTTCTAAGAATTGCCACACCAAGACCAATGTGGACAGAAATAGAGAAATAAAGTTGAATATATTCTGCAAGATAGTGATAGGTGAACCCAAATTGATGGACAAATACATTTTTGAAAATAGCTGCAGTGATATATTCTCTCCCTTTTCCCCCACCCAAAAAAACCCCCAACATTATTTCTTCGGGATCCTACTCTTTTATATTATAATATCAAGTATACATATAATGTAGGACAGCAAGCAAGTCACTTAAATATATTTAAGGCAAGATTTTCACCTGGTGTAAATCAGCACAGCCCAATGAATATCCATGGACCCATACTGATTTGTGCCAGCTGAAGAACTAACCCTTAGTCCAGTAGTGACACTTAAATTTAAATACTAAATTATACGACAGACCCACAAACCATTCTGTGCTAGTCCAACGTATAAAGTGAGAGCATAGCAAATACCAATTTAATTTGTGCTTGAAATTTAAGATTAAAGTGTCTTGGAATGAAGTGAACAAAAATTGGATTATTTACATATTAAAAACATTCATCCTGATGGTCCATCATCCTGAAAAAACTTTTCCTAGGAAGTAAAGCTGCAAGAGGTATCGCTAGATAGACCAGTTTAACACATTGGCTAGATGTTTCTGATAATTTTATCAGTAAGGAAATGTATAGTAACACTGACAATTCAATGTTTATAATTAGGATTCACAGTTAATGCCCCACTGAGTTAAGTGTGGGAATTCACACATTTCATACCATTGTTGTTTAAATTTGACTAGCTGCAGACTTGACAAGATACCAGTGCATCCGTTTGCACTTCCATGCAATTTCCACTGTTCTTTCAAATGAAAGATTAGATTTTGCAGAACCCCAGAAATCTAAGAGAAGCCCAGTCCTTAAAATATGCAAGTTTATTCCTCCATCACTATTCAAGCACCAAGAAAGTAGTGGGCCCTGTACAAGGCAAAAAATTAAGACAGTCCCTATAGAGAGATAGGAATGACTTTAAATAAATAAATAAAAAATAAAGAACCTCTTCAGCTTGCTCTGAATAATAAAATCATATGGTTGTAGTTTTTTAAAAAAAGGTATCCAATAGCTTCACTCTTTGTGTAAATCGTTTGTCAGGGCTGGCATACTGTTATGAGAAATGGGCATGAGAGATAGCATAACCACTGGATACCTCCAATTTGCCTTAATCATGCTAATTTGTAAATGCAGCAGATGGACTGGAATTTGAAATAGAGCAGGTAAACACAGGCCATGTCAGTACAAGGCGCTTCATGGTTTGCCAATCTCCCTCAACCATGCCCTACAGGTTCTACTCCAAAGAGATGAGATTAGTTTAGTCTCCAAACCCATTCAGACCTTGGGCTTTCTGCTGAGGCTTATGACTGACCACTTACTAGGAATCAGACTGAAAAACCTCCAACTAACTTCACATAGGCTACTGAGGGGCACTTGCATGGTAAAGAGTTGGGGTCACTACTAATCTGTCAGTGGTGGTAATGCAATAAACAGCCTCTCTCTGAACCATCCAGTCTGCGAATCAAACTTCTGTAATGCTGTTCTCTTCTTTCATTATAATTATTTCAGAAAAATATCACCACCATGCCTGAGTTCCAATAACTGACATTGGAAGTGCATCCAGGAATCCCAAACATAAACGGAGAGAACATAAACTATTCTGAAGTGGAGGAGAAATCTGACTATTGCTGAGGGAAAGAGAGGAGCTAAATTACAAAATAATCAAAGTTAATAAATCTTATTTTTAGGGCTAGATTGTGCTCCTATTCCTTGCTCAATCAACCCAGGTCTTGGGTGTGGTGTGGAGGGCAACTCCTATTCTCCAGATACTGCCACTATGGGGTGTGGGCAGAGATTTGACTTTGTACTACCCCCCCTTCACAGTTGTCGAGGAGTGAAGTGAGATGCATGCTAAGGGTTGTAATTACTTACTTCCCTTCCCTCTGGAGCAAGAGGGGAGTAGGGGCAAAATTGTGACAGTCACAATTCCTTCCTGGGGCTGCCCAGTCATTCACTGCCTCTTATGCAGGGTCCAGGATGAACCTACAGGATCAAGAAGGTCTTTATTCCTACTTGTCTGTCTGGTTCAGAAAGCAAGATGTATCTGGAGATTGTGGTCAGCAGAGGCAACTCAGTGTTCAAAGAACTGAATGTTCTGTAAATTCTATTTTAGGGGAAACATAACTCTACATCAGTGACTTCTAAGATTAATAAGCAAAGTGTCTCTGTCCTGTTTATTAGTTTTTAATATCTGTTTATTGTTTCCAATGCCAGCAAGAAATATTGGGCCAGTTCCTCACCTGGCTTAAACCTGTGTATGACATTGAGATCAATGAAACATTGCTGATTTCTACCAGCTGAGGAACTGGCTCATTACTGCTATGAAACAAGCTCTAAATGTAGAAGTGTTTAGAAATGTTGTGTGTTCCTAGCGACATAACATTGTGAGTGAGGCTGGGATTAATAACTGGGCAAGCACGAGGTTAGAGACTGACAGGGGAAGACTGGGCCAGACATTCAATGATTGTCCCCTCATAGGTGTTTAGGTACCTACCTCTCTCTCCACACCCACCCACCCACACGTCAGAGCGTATATAAATTTATTGGGCTCCTACATTGGGTACCTAGAAGTGGCCACATTTTCAGATGTGCTGAGCACATAGATACAACTCTCCTTGGTTTTAGTGGAAAGTCTCAGCATGTCTGAAAATCTTAGACCATTTATTTAGGTGTGTATATTAGGATTTTGGTGCCTCACTTCAGGCAAAGTTTTGTGTGTGGGTCAAACTATATGTGGGTGGCTGTATGAACAGACAGCAATGCAGAAATAGCAGAGACCCTGCACAGCAGGTTCTGCCTACAGTGATGAACAGAAAAGCATGAGACTTTCATCTTGACATGTCTTGCATTCATGTGCCCTTTGAAAACAGACATTATACACTTTAATTTTGTTTAAAATCAGAAGATATGTTCTGTTCATTAAGTAAATTCAGACAGCAGTGTGGCTCAGGAATCCACGCTTGCACAATTTCTTGATTTTTCACTGGAAAACAAATTCATCCCCAAACAGTTCTTTATTCCTTTTCCAAATATATTTTCCACAGGGGGAAAAAAACCCTATTTTCTGACCAGCTGTAGTCCTAAGGGTCTCAGGAAGCTGCCTGAAGCGTGAGGTTAGAACAATATAATTCTACACATCCCTGCCACAGGCCAGGGAGAAGATCTCTGCAACATCATTGGAAGGGGGGAGGGAATTGTGGGCGCAATGGAGATACAATCATATGCTTCCACATACTTCCTGATGACTTTTAGCCTTAAACCCCACACATGCTGCTCTTCCCTAGGGTCTGGATTAGTTGCTGTAGCCCAGCTACAGAGTAGTCTGGCAGGTTGGGGCTGTGGATTCCATCCCTCTGTCCCTGGAAACTTCTGCATGAAGCAAAGCCCTTTCAGGCAGCATTTGCTCCTTTCAATTGTTTGGTTATTGGGGGGGGGGGGGTGTCTCACTCTATTATTATCACTACAAAAGGTTTTTTTCCCTCTCCTGCTGATAATAGCACATCTTAATTAATTAATTAATTAGCTAGCCTCTTAGAGTGGGCAACTCCCACCTTTTCATGTTCTCTGTATGTATATATATCTCCTCACTATATGTTCCATTCTATGCAGCCGATGAAGTGGGCTGTAGCTCACGAAAGCTTATGCTCAAATAAATTTGTTAGTCTCTAGGGTGCCACAAGTACTCCTGTTCTTTTTGCAGATACAGATTAACACAGCTGCTACTCTGAAATCACTCTATTTTGAAATTGTACATGCAAATCGAGTCATAATACAACACATGCAATTTGCACTCTAGCAAAACCTGTTTGACAACATAGAAATTACCATGAATTTTTAGTATAACCAATTACAAAATGTTACTGTGATGGCCACAGCTTTGATATGGAATGTGCTGCATGAAAAAGTCTGACTATTCAGAAAATGCACAATAGTTGGTGCCTGTCAACAAATGTTTAACTGTATATGTAATTTGGCAACAAATTTACATTTCTTACACTGAAGGTATTGCTCCAGTTCCAGAATAAATTGTTTGCATAGTTCCTCACAATTCTACTTCAACTGAGTAGATTTTAGAAAATATTTCAAGAATGATGCCCAAGGTACTAATATTTGCATAATTTAAATGGAACTGTAAACTACTTCTTTCAGTTAAACAAAACAAGATCATCAATAAACATTGTTGACTATTTCAACAACAACAAAAAGCTTTTACATTCAAAACTATAAAGTGAATAGCAGATACATTTTTTTTATGTAAACTGACACGTTAATAGATAACGTCTTAACAATACAAAACAACCTCCCTCCCCAACAAACCTTGCTTCAGTGATGCTATGGTTACTTTGTTGACAAATTGTTTTGCATATCAGCCCTAATAAACCAGAACACACAATATATTAAAAGTGTACTGCCTTGCAAAGTAAAATATTAAGACCCAGAATTAACATTCCCTTTATCCTCCAACCTGCGAAGATGAATTAAAACTTATCCTGATTCAATGATAGTTTATAGACCAATGCACTATAACAGAAAATTATAAAAATTATTTGAAACCCTTTGAAGGCCAGTTTTTGCTCCTACAATCATCCAGAAAGACAACACTGGCATCTTCCAATATATTAAAATATATATATATATTCCATGCTATCTTTTACTTGTTTCAGGCCTGAAACAATTTCTGCTGAATTTTCTCAGTTGGCATAAAAAACTTGAATTATGAATATTCGCCAGTCTCTTGTCAGAGTGCAGATCTATTAATCAGCTCAGAAAATGTCAGATTGCAGTCTTCTTAGAGTGTTTTTATTAACCAGTAGCACCATCTGCTGGTCCAAGCAATCCCTTCAAATTTTAGAAAACGCTGTGGAGAGTGACCCAGCCAAAATGACGCAAAATGCTACGGAGAGTAACAGGTAGTTTTTCAATCCCTATATAGTCAAAGAAAGAGAAGAAAAATGTAATATCACTTGTTTATAAAGCAGCATTTAAAAAAAGAGGGGAGAGTAAAATGAAGGTGAAGTTGGGTTGTTTACAGTAGATTTCATGAATAAGTGAGTTTTTTGAAATGGCATTTATCAGAAACAAATTTTAAGTGAAGACTCTCAGAAAGTGAATCCCAAATTCATACAACATTAGTGCTTATAACAGAATAGTTACTGTCTTCCAGTCAGGGAACCAAACCTGATTGATGTGTCCATTCAAACCCAGCCAAACATTGCTTAAATAACGCCTATAAAGTTAATGGGAGTCTTTCCGTTGACTTTAAAGGGAACTGGCCTGGATTCATAAAGATTGTTCACAAAACAGCTCATTGTTAGTAATCTACACAGCCATATATGTTTTTATATGGGAATTAGCCACAAAAACTATTCAGCAAATAACTTTGAATATTTTTGAGAAATTTCATTCTACTCAAGGACAATTCTCAAACAGCAAAAGAGGCAAAATTAGTTGAATAGATTCTTACAAATTAACTGGGCAACTTGAGTTCTAATCCTGGTTTGGACACTGACTTGCTGTATGATGTTGGGTCAGCCAACCTCCCTGAGCCTCACTTTTCTCATATATATAGCTCAGACAATGATATTTACCAACTTTACTTAAAGTTAAGCATGTGCTTATGGATATATGCACATGGCAATATAAGGCCTGTGGCATGGTCATGGCTGGCCCAGGTCAGCGGACTTGGGTTCACAGGGCTCAAAAATTGCAGTGTAGATGTTCGGGCTTGGTCTGGAGCCTGGGCTCTGAAACACTGCAAGGGGGTGGCTTTCAAAGCCTGGCTGCGGCTTTCAAAGCCTGGCTGCTAGCCCAAGGAATTTTTAGCCTCACCACCTGAGCCCTGCGAGTCTGGGCCAACTGATTTTGGGCTGCAGGTTTTTATTGCAGTGTGGATGTACCTGTAAGCACATGTTTAAATATGTGAGTACCTGTAGTCCAGGGGTCGGCAACCTTTCAGAAGTGGTGTGCCGAGTCTTCATTTATTCACTCTAATTTAAAATTTCGTGTGCCAGTAATACATTTTAACATTTTTAGAATTGGGAATTAGGTGCATAATCCCTTATATGCGTCTATGTGCCAATCCACAGGACAATGTGACTCATGGGACAGTGGCACCACCAGCTTTAGAAGTTTGTTCAAATTTCACAAGGGTGACTGTTAAAATGAAAATGGCTTTTCAATTCCTCCCTCCCCCGCAAAAGAAAAAAAATATCAAAGCTCTTCAGTTTTATGTAAATTTCAAAAACTAGAAGCAAGCAACTGTTCAACTGGGGGGGAGGGGAATCTTATGACAAATATTTCATCCAGCTCTAATTATAGTGGTAGAATTAAGTACTCTCTCTAAACATCAGAGACTAATTTTAGCAGTATTCCCCTTTTAATCTTTCAAAATGTAGAACTTTTGAAGTATATAATTTTTAAAATTACAGCCAAGTATATTGTCTACTCATGAGACTTCCAAAATCTTCTTTCAGACATCCAAAAATTGTACTCCATTAATCTAAAACATGTTATAGTACGTTGGTCCATGTCAATCTAAAACATGTTTAATATCTAAAAGGCTTTTTGTTATATTCTTAAATAATCCATTTGTTCTTGGGCTCTTGCCTCCTATCCTGCTAAAAGTCCTTCATGCTATCTCACTGCTTTATATACAGATATGGAATTCAAGTTTTAATTCTTCTAAAGAGAATGAAAGCTCCTCACAGTCTTTCTTAGCAAAAATACTCTGGCATGACAATGGTCCTATAGCTCCATCTTGTGACAGGTGCAGAAGTCTCATGATGACAGCATTGTACCATGTATCCTCAAGTCTCAGGTTTCACATGCAATTCTTGAAGTCAGATACAGGTAAAAAGTTAGGACACCGTTGGACTTACCTTTATTTCTTTAAATACCAGGACTCCCCACATAGCAGCTACAAAGCCAGGGCCCTAAAGAACAGAGTTAGCTTTGTTAATATATATAGCATTTCTTAAAAATGGGCAATTTTCTCAATACTTAATTCAGACCTTTTCTTCCTGTGTAATGCAACTGTAAATGCTCATAAACAAAACAAACATTGTTGTAAAGATTTCAAAGGAAAGGTCAGTAAATCCTGCAGGAGGAAGAAAAGGGGGAGGAAATCTGAGGAGACGGTATGATCTGGAGCTAAATTAGACTGCAGAGACTGACTCTTGAACCTGCCACTATATTCATTCTTGATATTCTCCAACTTGAAAATCTGAGGTGAGATTTACTTTTGCAGTCCAGGTTGGAGGAGGCTACTCAGGCTTCTGCACACAATCTTAGCAGTTACCATGGTTCTTCCTAATACTTACTTCATTATTACAACTAACTAGTTGAACAAAGGTTTCAGAGTGGTAGCCGTGTTAGTCTGTATCAGCAAAAACAATGAGGAGTCCTTGTGGCGCCTTAGAGACTAACACATTTATTTGGGCATAAACTTTTGTGGGCTAGAACCCACTTCATCGGAAGCATGAAGTGAAAAATACAGGAGCAGGTATGATTCTCTAGGCAAAAGAATAAATGGACACAAATCTGACATCAGGAGTCATAACATTCAAAAACCAGTAGGAGAACACTTCAAATTTCTCTGGTCACTCAATAACAGACCTAAAAGTGGCAATTCTTCAACAAAAATACTTCAAAAACAGACTCCAACGTGAAGCTGCAGAACTGGAATTAATTTGCAAACTGGATACCATCAGATTAGGCCTGAATAAAGACTGGGAGTGGTTAAGTCATTACAAAATCTAAACTTAATTTCCCCAATACTAATTTCTCCCTACTGTTACTCACGCCTTCTTGTCAACTGTCTGTAATGAGTCATTCTTTTACCACTTCAAAAGTTATTTTTCCTCCCTTGGTATCTTGCTGTTAATTGATTTATCTTGTTAGACTGACCTCACACTTGGTAAAGCAATCCCCATCCTTTCATGTATTTATACCTGCTCCTGTATTTTTCACTTCATGCATCCAATGAAGTGGGTTTGAGCCCACGAAAGCTTATGCCCAAATAAATTTGTTAGTCTCTAAGGTGCCACAAGGATTCCTCGTTGGTTTTTTTAGTTGAACAAAGTTTGCCTTAAACACTTGTCATGAAAGTGAAAGACTAAAAATACATCCTCTTTTATTTAGCAATAATCTGGATAATCCACAAGGGGTCAGGCCAGGTGGACAGGTCATAAAACTACCATTTATCAATGACGTTACACTACAGTTTTCCTAGCTGACAGCAAACTTAGTGATAATGAAGAGCACCTGGAAATACCATTCTTTCCCCACTGAAAGCTATATTATGACTTCCACTGCCTGAAGGAAAGAATTATTAAATACACACCAAGAAATTATCATACTATGAACAAAAAGATGTCCCTTAAAATACACAGCAATGAATGAGTTCTCATGTTACACTTAATACATGCAAGGTGAATAAAGGGGGAAAGAGTGTCAATAACAAGTGTGGGACAGTGAGCTGTCTGGAAACCCAGACGTCAACCCCTCTAAAATGGAGTAGAGAGGCTGATTCAAACTAAAAGAAGTGCATCTCATCCGAAGCTAAAATCATGATTGACACCCAAGACTACAGTTTCCCTATACAAAAAGAAACATACATTAACAGCATAAGCTCATTTGCTGCATCATCTCTTACACTGACACAGAGTACCTGGCAAAGTGGCCCTTTATCTAGTGGAGGATAAAAATTACCCAGCTACAAAAAACTAGCTGCTCATATGTACTGTATCATATATATAAATAAAACAGGCAAAATTGGTCAACTGCTGCTCATTTCAGTTACACAAATAGTACCATTAATCTTTTTAACAAAGAGCATGTTTTAGGTATTAAAAACACACAAAAGGATTAGTATCTGAATTCATAATTTTATGCAAAATAAATGTTAAAGACAGAAAATATCACAAATTGTGAGGAATACAGTGAAAAGTGTAACTGCCAAGATGAAATCATGTAACTGACTGATCAGTGTCTCCTCCTCCGCCCCCTGTGCCTCATCTACAGAGGATGAGGGTCTATTACAGAGATTGACTCTCTTACTTAAAAAATTTACTACTGCTTTTAGCTCTGGAGGCCACTAGTTCAACCCTTGATGCCTCCCAAGATGTTGTCATAATCATACGTTCCTAAAAGCCAAAGGCAACGGGGGAGACACAGAACTAGGGGTCCTAAGAAAAGTTTACAGACTGGCTGTACAGACTGGACACCTCAAAGTTGCAAAATTATCCCCCAAAAGGGAAAAGAAAACCCTCATTTTAAATAATAATGACACAATGAACAACGTTTTTAAAAAAGGTACTCACAGCAGTAATTATTGGAAAGCTGACCACCGCACTGAGGTAGTGATTAGCTATGAACCAGCAACAATTGGCTATTGCCCAAAGTACACCAGCAACAAATCCTAGAAAAAACAAATTTCCATCAGAAAACTATCTACAACAAAATATAGGCCACCTACTGCAGGCAGTGCAAGACATCACAATTTACTGTGTGCAAATGTAAAACAGAATCTGAATAGTATGTTGACGATTGATTATCTAAATCTAACCTTACAGGATAAAATCATCCTTTTCAAGAGAAATGGCCATGGAATGGTAACTCCACAGGGAGTGTTCATGGGTGAGCAGTTAGGTGGTGTCACAATTCAGGGAAACTGCATCTGTATTTCCCCTCAGTAGTACAGCAAGAGCACCCATTGTCAGGCTTCCAGCTTCCCAACCATTGCTCTTGGATGGACGTCTGTGTGTCTCTCTCTCTCTTCCTACTGGGGAATTTCCAGGTGGCACAGTTCCCTGCCTACACTCTATTATTCCCAGCACAGACAGACTGCCCCAGGACACCTGCTTCTTTCTCTTCAGAGATGGGTAACAGGTGTAATTGTTAGTTACAGGGTACCGCACAGTACTTTCTATGCACACTTACTTTGTTCTTAAGGTAAAAAGCATTACAGAGAAAACATATTAAAAACAATAAAAACCCACACACATGCTAATAAGTTTACCAATGCTAACATGGATTCTGGAGAGAGCAGTTCTTCAATCTGCCTCCCAAGGGGATTCCTTGTGGTTATAATTTCAGCTCAGAGCAAATACCCAGGAGTCCTGTCCATTTGCTGGATCAGAAAGAAGGCCCTGAGTCAGTTTAAAACCAGGCTATCAATCAAAAACCTTTTTCCTGCCTGTTGGTTCCTTCAAAGGGTTGATAATGGAGAAAGTATATTAGCATCCCCCTCCCTACTAGAGAAGGTACATACAATAACATATACAGAATCACATTTTTAATATATCATATCCCAAAGGTATTAAACCTAATTCAAAAAGGTTTAACTTTATTTATTTAAGTTTATCTTAATTCCATAAGGTTTGTTCAGGATATTAGAGGATATTGTCAGTCTGTCACAGCTAGCCCAGTCCTGGGTAGAGATATGGATTGATCTCATTGTGCAGATTTTCTAAGATCCACAGTAGGATTTGACTGAAACAGTCAGGACTGATGTAAATGTATTTAGAATATTTTTCATAATACAATGTTTGCATTTAATATTGATCGTGACATTTGGTATCTTAAATATTTCTGTTACTCAACATAAAGACAAAATATGAATTACAATATGTGCCTTAATGTTACTAGCAAAAGTAAATATTGATAGGTTGGGCTGGAAAGAGAAGAACTTCTGCTGAAATCAAAAGAATCATTCTGTCAGACTCTAGTCTTTGTCCCAGGCAGATTTAATTATTATACTTTTGTTCTCTTAACACTTACAGCAAAGAACACTTACAGAAATTCAGGCAGAGAACCTCTCCCCACGCCCTATGTGAACAAAATATTTTTTTCTAAATGGCAATAACATAGTAAAATAATGCATTATTACCAAAGTGAAAGAGCACACATATGGAGTAATTAATTGCTTTACTATTATACTGCTGTTTAGGAAATTGTGGTTTTGCATTCATATGTGGGTCTGGGAAATGTTTAGCCTGGGTTTTTATTTTTCATTTTGCTTTGTTCAATGGGTGTTATTCATAGCATTAAATTAGAAAAAAAAATCAGTTAATCACTGATCATTTAATATCAAGACAAGAGTTTGAGGTCAAAGTGTCTTTTGGTTTAAGATTATTTAAACTATATGGGTGTCACAAAAATCCTGCTTAGATATTGAGTTCTGGAAAAGTAAAGGTAATCCAAATGTGCTCACCACTACAGAATTTACAACTTCTGTTGATTCAGTTTCTGTTTATTTTTCTTACATTTGCAGTGACACTGCTTCACCATCTGGCCTTTCGCAAAGAGGATATATTTTTTTCTCCTCACTCCTTCCCCACAGAAGTTCTAAAATTTTCAAAGGTTAGTACAATATGTAGGTCTCTGTTATAATTTTCTGGGCAATGTGTTCTCAGTTCTGGCAAAGTTTCAATTTCAGAACATCTTTAACATGCAACATCACATTTCAAATTGGACCACAATTTTTCATTGTCTCCCAACCTTTTCACATGTGCTCTTTCAAAAGATATCAAAAGTCAAGAGAACGTACTTCCAAGATTAACTATAATCCCAAGAGTATGATTTGGAATAATTATAGTAGTACAGTTGAAATTATTACAGGAAGTAACTTTAAATTAATACCTATTTTATTGAATAGTCATACCTGGTATTATGGCTTCAGGGTAAACTTTAGGTTTATTTTTCATGACTGCACAGTAGATCAAAAAGTATATGGTACTTGTGAGAAAGATTCCACTAAAGTGTGCAAAGACATAGTCTAAATCTGAAACAGAAATGGCACAGAGGTAAAGATATAAAATCACAGTAACTGTAAATATTTTTACTAAACTAATTCTATGCTGTTTCATACATAGTGTGCATAAATCCAAAAATGCACAAGGCACTACTACTAACAACTTGAAGTTTTGTCATCTTCCATCCATTTTAAATAAAACAAAAATAAGAAAAACAAAGAAAGGGAGCTTGTTGCATTATCCATGTGACACAACCATGAGTGCAAATATTACTATAAATGGAGTTGTTCAATCATGCAAGTTAAATTATGTAAGGGACTTCCACTGCATTGACTATGCCATAAAATCATATAAATGTAGGATTAGAAGGGACCTCAAGAGTGTGGATCACAGTAGAGCCTAAAAGTGGGATCTGGGTGCTGAAACCTCACACTTAAGCACCAAGGTTTTTGACTCAAGAAGAAAAGGAATCCCTTGTTTTTGTCCTAATGCTGCACTCCTGAGCTTGTTGCGCTATCTTCTAGGTTGGTGGGGGGCAAACTATGGCCCACGGGCCACATCCGGCCCACAGGACCCTTCCCTCTGGTCCCCGAGCTCCTGCCAGAGAGCAGGGTCAGGACAGGCTTGGGAAGAGCCAGCCCAACTCCCCGGCAGCGCGGTGATGAAGAATGCAGGAGCCAAGTGGCTTGTTGTCCACCTGCCTAATTAGAGACTTTGTTTCATTATTACTGCAGTACTGTGAGGAGGAAAATTTATGAAGGCTCCACTCTGACAAGAAATGGCAAGAGAATGACATTGGTACAATAAACATGTGCATGAATTGTTGGAAGATAGAGGAGAAGCAGATAGGGCTGCAAAGTAGGGAGTAGTTAACCCTGGGGAAGGATGGCTTGAAATGCTCCTTACAACTCCGTTAGTAGGCACTAAATCAGTCCCTCTCTCCTGCTTGGGCTGGGCTCATGCCCTCAACCTACTCACTTCTGATGCTGTGCTGGCCTGGCTGGAGGAGCATGGAATAGTAAGCCCTTGTGTTCTCTCACACCCACCCCAGGTGGAATTAATGCCACTGGAAGCCTGCAACCCAGAGAGAAAATTGAGCTTGTCTTGTTTGGCTGCAGCTGAATGCATTTCCACTCTTAAAGCAGGAGGTCTCTCTATATTTTCCCATAATTTATAATTACCCCCATTAAGTATGGGGACAATTAATATAAACATCATATAAATATATTTTCTGCACAGTAAAAGCAGAGCATGAGCTGAAAAATGGAGGAAGAAACCAAACATTTATATTATTAGGCTCCTTACGTATTTGGAATATTGCCTACCAATGCAGCAGTGAAAATCTATATGGCCTCACAAGAAAAATAAGTAGAAAATGTGACTAAATTTCAAAATGCTTCAAAGAAAAAACATTTTATTGTGAATGAAATTGTTCCTAAACATCAGTGAAGTTTGGCATTCACTGGGCCTAATCAGCCATTCGAGTGATTGCATCCAGTTTGCACAGTTGTAAGTGACTACAAACAGGGCAAGGTAGTGGAGAATCATGTGCACCGACTCCTGTGTCACCACATAACACCAGGAGGCATGGCAAAAATCACCAAATCTATTTACAAAATTAATAGGATATACAGTAGTTATAAGGTGAAATAAAAATGGTTCATTGGCCTTTACCAAATTGACTTGCTCCTGTGTATACCGTTCCATTTCTTCTACCATGGTCCTTGATGTAGAGCACTGGCACAAAGCTGGAACCATAGAATATTCCAGCTACTACTGCTAGGGTACAGCCTCTTAAAAAAAAAAAAAAAAGAGAGAGAGAGAGAAAGAAATAAAGGAAGCCATTATTAATCAGTAGACTAGATAATATACTTAAGACATAACAGGTCTAGAATGATACTATGTAAAACATTCTGCACATGCAAATTGCTAGTAATGATATAGAAATTAAACCTTCTATCACATTATTTTTATATTACAGTAGTGCCTAGAGGCCCTATCCAGGGCCCCACTGAGCTAGATGCTGTACATGCATGTAGCAAAGAGACAGCCCCTGCCCTAAAGAGTGTACAATCAAGGTTAATGACAAGACACAACAATGAACTTTACTAAGATATGGTGGTAGCTATGAACATTTAGAACCACTATACAGGGTGACCCACTAAAGGGCATAAAAGAAGCAGATAAAAGTCTCATAGAGTCATAGACTTTAAGGTCAGAAGGGACCATCATGATCATCTGATCTGACCTCCTGCACATTGCAGGCCACAGAACCTCACCCACCCACTCCTGAAATAGACGCCTACCCTCTGGCTGAGTTACTGAAGTCCTCAAATCATGGTTTAAAGACTTCAAGCTACAGAGAATTCACCATTTACACTAGTTCAAACCTGCGAGTGATCCTTGCCGCATGCTACAGAAGAAGATGAAAACCCCCCAGGGTCTCTTGCCAATCTGATCCAGGGGAAAATTCCTTCCCAATCCAAAATATGAAGGTCAGTTAGACCCTGAGCATGTGGGCAAGACCTACCAGAAAGATACCTGGGAAAGAATTCTCGGTAGTAACTCAGAGCCCTCCCCATATAGTGTCCTGTCTCCAGCCGTTGGGGATTTTTGCTATTGCCAGTCACTGATGGGCCACATGCCATCGTAGGCAGTCTCATTATTCCATCCCCTCCATAAACTTATCAAACTCAGTCTTGAAGCCAGTTAGGTTTTTCAACTCCACTGCTTCCCATGGAAGGCTGTTCCAGAACTTCACTCCTCTGATGGTTAGAAACCTTTGCCCAATTTCAAGCCTAAACTAAGTCTGTGTCAAGAGAAAATAAACACAGTCCTGCACTCAAACTGACCATAGCATCCTGTGTTTCTGTAATCTCTACAGATGATGGCATAAATACACATTGGGGCAATTGAAAAGTCACTGAAAATCTATTTTAAGTAATCTCCACAAGACAGTATAGATAATTTGTAATTGTAATTAATATTGCGGCCAGTAAGAGACAGCACATTGAAGAACTAGAAGAACAAACACTGTTATCCAGTTAAAATGTACCTAAGTAGTTTTGCAGTTATACCTTTTCATTATAGTACTAACATTTATAAAAAATATCATTCATTTGTTACAGTGTGACAATGTGCTTCATACAGTACAGGACACAGAAGTTCCTTTACTATTTTGTAGCAACTTAAAGAAACCCAGGTCAACTAGCCAGAATGAAGAAAAGAAATGGTAACTACTTACATTATTCTTTTTCGTGCTGGAGAAAGACTGTCTACCCATGAAGCATCAGAATAGGTATTTTCAGAATTGTTGACTGACTGTTGACAACAGTTACAATTTTAGTGTCAAATGTTTTGGAAAACATCCAAAAAAAGTGCATGTTTTAAAACAGAACAGTCACACATCGGGGAAAAGAATCTGAACGAAAGTCAGGAGACATGGGTTTACAGAAAGGCCCAAGCCAAAAAGATTGACTCAGGATTTCAAATGCTTTAGGGTGTCTGACTCTGGGGCTTAACTCAACACATTGTAGAGGGAGAATCCAAGTACAAATTTGGATTTCAAAGCATGTTTTCCCTTAAATTTGGTGAGTGCTAGAATCCAGAGGTTTGTTCTCTGTTTCCACTGTTGTTGTTGACTGTGTGGGTCCTTTGCCATCACTAGTATCATTTCATATCCATAACCATTTCTGCTTATTTTTGCCTCCCGGTGCACACACTGAATCCTTCTCTATAATACAAGCAGATTCTATGCCACTCTCTGCTTCCTTTGCTCCACCCACAAATCCCCTGCTGAAGATTCCCTTGATAAGGAGGGATCCCAGAGGGCATAGTTGGCTCCTATACCTCCCACCCTGTGGTCCCCAGTTCTGGCAGCATAGTGAGGGGGAGATTGACTGAAGTGTGCTGCTGTGCTCCAGTTATCCTTGCCTGCTTCATGCTCCCTAAGGGACAATAGCCATCTGGCACCAGTCTCAGGTCTCTAACCTGTGCCAAGGGCAGGGTCAAGAAACAGGGAGTCATAATTACCTGCCTGCTAGCTTCCCCACTCTGCTGTGCAGCAGGAAATCTGGCTACCAAGACACATTGTTTGCTTCCTTTTATCTAATGTTCTACTTTTACAGCTCAGTTTTAGTTCCAAAAGCTGTAATTAAAATTATTTCCCCTTTCTGACATGGGGGGGGGTAGTCTCAATCATTTATTAAACCTGTGTGGTAATGGAAAAGGACTTGTGAAACTATACAACATGCCAAGCCAGTAACAACCAGACTGTTGCGAAAAGCTGTTTCTGTTGCTAAATGCTATTGATCTTACAAAACCCATAAATTGAAGTTCATGTAAATAGGCATCTCCATTTGACCATGAATGTTGACAAATCTGGGTAACATCAAGTAATTGCTTTTCTTTTTATGCTGATGCACATTTTCAGTGAAGTAAAACAATAGTCAGAGTACTTACCCTCTCTCTCAGTAATGGGGTGGCTTCTAACAAAGTTGAAGAACTCTGAACTTCACTTTTTACAAAAAGAAATATGATAGTGCTGTGAAGAGAAAAGTACATTAACATGTACCAAACATCAGTTCATGATGACATAACATTTAATACCCCAGAGCAAAAACAAAGTAGTTGAAGGCATAATCCTCATTTTCATTTTGTTCCTTATTTTTCATCCTTTGTTTGACAATGTCACACTTCAGGATATCTTGAAATGAACTCTTAGCTATCTTGATTAATCTTATTAATTAATTTAGACACAAGTATATAATCTGATCAAATCTACTTTTAAAAATGTAGTACGGTCCTTATAGTTACCTCTTGTCATTTTAATAGGATGTACATGTCACTGTTCTGATATATCATCGCATTATTTTTCTAAAGACAGTTGTCATAGCCCAGTACTGCATTTTCAAACTATAGCAGATGTACACTGGGATATCCTAAGGGAAATTCTATATACATTGTGGAAGCAGAGAAAGAACTCACAGGCAGGGGATTGCAATGCATGACAGTTCTTTCTCTGCTTCCACAACACCCTCCATGGGGTGGGAGTGAGGGGTAAGGAGAGGAGAAAATGAATGAGACCTTCTTTCCAAAAAGCAAAAGCATACTACATTTACCAGAATTAGTGTTTCTAGAAGGTAACTAAACTGTTCACAATAAGGATGTTTTTAACACACCTTTACATTTACAGCTTCTGTGCAGCAGACTTAACAGCTTACTGCACTTCATTTGGCCTGGGACATAAACTGAGAATAGAAATTCTAGGTCCATTTTCTCAAGCAGCACTCTGATTTGTTTTGTTTTTTATAGTCTTGCATGTTTTTCAGTAAAATTCAACTGAAAATGTTAGGCCCCTCCTCAGAAGCCTAGTTCTGTGATTGGTAGGAGTGAGGTTTAAACAGGAGTAATTACCAACATATTTAACTTGCAAATTTGATCAGGTAAATATGTGCAATCAGGATTGGCAGGGTTTGTTTTTTAATGCCAAGGAATGGTGCGGGTCCCCATCATGCATGGTTCTTCCCCCTCCTGAGAGGATAGGAAGGAATATTGGGAAGGGGGGATGTCAGTCTCCTCCACGAAGACCAGGAAAACACACATTGTTCCCCCTCCAGGTCTATGAAGCTTAGATGAAATGCTTAAACTGTGAGTTCCATCCTCCCTAAGGGCATGGCTACACTGGCAGATGTAGAGCGCTTTGACAGCCTTTGCTGAGCAGTAGGGAGAGCGCAGCAATCTGTCCACACTGAGAACTGCAAGCGCACTGGCGTGGCCACATTAGCAGCTCTTGCAACGGCAACAGAGAGCAGTGCATTGTGGTGGCTATCCCAGCATGCAAGTGGTTGCAACATGCTTTTCAAATGGGGTGGTGGGGTGCAGTGTGACAGGGAGTGTGTTGTGTGTATGTGGGGGGAGAGAGAGTGGGTTTTTGGGGGGCTGAGAGCATGTCAGCATGCTGTCTTGTAAGTTCAGACAGCAGCAGACCCCCTCTTCCCCCCGCCTCTCTCTCTCTCACACACAGCATTCCACAGTAATGGTTGCTTTGTCTCTGAGCAGATAAGCATGCCGGATGTCAGAAACGGAGCTTTCAAAGGGCATATCCGCATTCCTGCAGCGATTACAAAACAATGACAAGAGTGGCCACTTGACTTAAGGGGATTATGGGACGTTTCCGGAGGCTGATCAGAGTGCAGTAATACAACACCTCATTCACACTGATGCCCAGGTGTTTCAGCCAGTGCGCACCAAGCATTAATCTTCTCGCTGAGGCGGAGTACCAGGAGCGCACTAGCCCTGGAGTCAGAGTGCTGTACGTGCCTTGCCAGTGTGGACGGGTAGTGAGCTACGGTGCCCGGGGCTGCTTTAATGCGCTCTAACTCGCAAGTGTAGCCAAGCCCTAAGTGTCTGGAAAGTGTCTTGCATAGAATAGCTGCTCCCATATATAAATAAAGAATTGGATGCCTTGTAGAGGCTCCTGGAGGATGCCATGGTTGGGGAATTCTGGCAGTATGGCTTCAGAGCTTTGCTGTTGCGGATTGTAGAGCCTCTGGGGGAAAGAGATGGTGTGGATGGCCCTGGATTCAGCTGAATCTATGGCGTCTGCCAGGTTTGAGGAATGGTTTTGTGGCCTAGTCTATGGAAAGGGGCAAAGAAGAAGCAAACTCCACCTCCCTGAAGGATTGATGAGAGACAAATTCCACCAGGAGATCATAACTTTTTCCAGGGAAGGCTTTTCCCAACAATTTTCAAAGTGAAACATTTGAGTAATTTAACTACGACAATCAATCAATCTACATTTGGGATGGTATTTAACGTATTCATTGGCATAAAAATGTGCTTCTCCATTTATGAAGACCTATTTTGCCATTGAATTGGAATTAACATTTGTCTAATTCTGAAAATATTTCTCTGTCTCACTGGATAGGACAACTTAATAAATTTTAAATGAACTCCATTTGCAAAATTCATTCAACTAACAGACATCCTCTCCTATTAAATCAATACCTCAGTAATTAAATCAAAGAAGTTTTTTATTATTAGGAAGAATATTTACCTTAACACTGAAAGTCCAGCTCCGATATAATTTAAGATGGGTTTTGATACTTCTTCTGGGTCAATTCCAAACCAGCCGAACCTGGAATATTTAACCACAGTTTTATTTGATTCCATTTATATGTATTAAATTTTAAATTAGAGTCCAGTCTTGGAAATCCTTACTAATGCAAGCAGTCCCACTGAAGTCCAGATTATCAGGACTGGGCTCATGCTTAGTGAAGTTTTGCCAAAAGGCAAGTTTATGTAAATGTCCAGGCTAAAAGAAATAAATTTAACCATGTACAATTATGATGATAAAGAAAACAATGAAAATGAAAACAGCATTTTACTTGCACATGAAAAATATGATTTTAATTAATCAGATGAGTGAGCATTTAGGGTCTTTTGCAAAGAAGTTCCAATAAACATTTTCTTCTTATTGAGAATCTCACAAATAAGCGAGCAGAATAGATTACAATTAACCTGAATATTTCATTGGGAGAAAAAAATCTTTTCTATTTCATACATCTTTTGCATTCATGTTGAGTGTTTTCATTACAGTTGTTAATGAAGAGATGACAGCATTCACATTGTGTAGTTTAAAGCTTAAATGCAGTTACCTTGAGCTTGCCCAGCCAGTTAGCAAATTAAAAGAAGCCCAGATTAAGAGTCCAAGACCTAAACCAATGGTTTTAACAATGGGGACAACTGTAATGTTACCTGCAATATGGAAAAACACAAAAGCAAAATTACTTTATTGCCAAAATATTTTGGTTTTAAAATTGAGCGCTCATATTTGTACTTTGAATTTCAATATGGTTTATAAGATCAGATCCTTTGAACAACATCAGTCAATATGCAGTACATGATGTTGTTGTTAAATATTTAACAAATGCACACACACAAACACACTTTCTTCAATTCATCATCCACAATTTTGAAAGCTATTCTTGGTGTGAATTTGGTGCTTACAAAAGGAAGGTGCTGAAGGCATTGTGTGTAAGGTCTTCAATGCACCCCAACCCTACAAGAATACCTGGTACTCTGGTCCTAAATTTCTCTCTCAAGAAGAAAATGCCATTTATGTCTAACCATGCAATAATCATGTTTTAGGAACAGGAAGAGACCAGTATTCTTGAGTTTTTATATTTTCCCATATACTTACTAAACTGAAAATTTCTGTATTCTACAAAGAGTTTCCCTGTCATTAAAGTGGGCTAAGTTGGTTCTACTCTGCATTTTCACAGACTCAAATTTGAATTCAAAGTACTGGGTGCTATGTGAAATGTCACCAGCTAGGTTTTAATTCACATAACCTGGGGTATTTTTGCTTCCACCAATAGCATGAAGACACATCAAGGTAATTTAGAGATATTTCTGTCCCTAAGGAGAAGAATCTGTCTGTCTTATGCAGTGATGGTTCCTATTAAAGAGCCCTGCACTGGACTATAGCTAAGACTGTCTAGTCATTTCATGCTTTTTTTTTTTGGATGTTTCTTTAAGGTTTAATTTATATCAATCCAATATGAGGACAAAATTAGGAAATACACAGTTAATATTTTATAGGGACAGTCCCGATATTTGGGGCTTTTTCTTATATAAGCTCCTATTACCCCTCACCCTCTGTCCCGATTTTTCACACTTGCAATCTGGTCACCCTATCACAGTGCTTATCACCCAGCAGCTCCCACTGGCTTCACTGGGAGCTGCTGGCTGCCCAGCACTCTTGAAAATCAGGCCACTTATTTAGAAGCTTAACTTTGGGCTTTTGAAAAACTTGGGCCAATAGGTTTCTTATAGCTATTTATAATGTAAGCATTCAGCCATATGGCTAAGGTAACTTTAGCATCTTCTGTTTCTTCAGCCCTTCTAAAACATGGCTATTATTTGGTACCTGTATTACTTTAGGTTTTTAAATAAGGCTGGTGAAGACCACTGTCAATGCTAAAACTGTAAAATATCATGTTCACAGTAACACATACAATAATGGCAGAGATCCAACAGTGCAGTAAATAACAAAGATCCATTTAGTATATCAAATATTTCAATGTTATCATCTCTGCCTCCTCGGAGGAATTAGCTTTATTGTGTTTCTGAAGAAGTAGGATCTCTTCCTCATTACCTGTAGCCCATACACTACCCCCAACCATAGCAAGAGGCCAAAACCGAGGGCTATTCTGAATAAGGTTCACCACCAATGATACTATCCATATTGCAGCACAGAGAATCCACTGGAAGAACATTCCTGGAGGGGAAAACAGACAAATAAATGAATATGTAACCATCAATGTTTTTTTTTTTTAAAGATTTCTTTCAAGTACTGTATGTGTGAGCCTGTTGTTTCTTGTTCATATAATATATCTCAGATGAAATTATACAGATGCAATTGAAATATGGTCACATATTTTAGAGATCTATCCCTTATGAAGTTTATGTAGCCACGTTACAATATTTTTAAAAGGTTATATTTTGGGGCAAGATGTTAGCAGTCAACCAGTCATTTATTTCTGGGTTCTCGCATTCTCCGTACACTTGTTAACTACACTTGCTTGAACAAAGTTAATACAGCCCAGATCCTCAGGTGCACATGAGCTCTGCTTAGCTCTTGAAGACGATGGACATGAGTTACTCTCCCTCCCTTCCACTCCCAACCATGAACATGTTAGAACAGCCTAGAAATTACTCTAACTTGCACTGTGTGGGACAGTCCTAGAACTGTTCCAGTAACACAGGATGGCCAGATTGCTGTACACTCTGGCCAAACTTCCTCTCACTCCCAGCAGATCCTGGACTTAAAGGGGCCAGGAGTGGGTGAAATATTTGCTGGCTTTATGCCCCTTCTCCCCCAGAAATATTTGCTGGCTTTATGCTCTTCTTCCCTTACACAAGGGAAATCCTTGGCTGAATATTTAAGGCAGCTTTTTTGTTCCCTATGCTGTGCTGGATTAGCACAAAAAGAGGAGAAAACAGAGGCTAGGATCCATCCTCTAATGCAGATATGGTTACAGAAAAGTAATTTGGGATAAGCCTTTTTTGATCACGGGATTCTGGTAACCAATGAATATGTCTTCACATATACCTAGATACAGCATGACCCCGTATAAGGCAAGTGAAGTGCTGTGGCAAAATCATAAATCATAAGGGGTTGTTTCGTGTTATCAGATTGCCAAGACATAAGTACTCAAGTTTCTACATTTGATTGCTTTTAATGTTATCTACAATAACGTGACTCAAGGGATGGAGATATTTAATAGATCACCAGCTATAAAGGGTAAGTAATACACACTGAAGTGTGTATTTGAGAATCTGCAAACTGTGGGGGACTGAAAGGCACTTCACTTTTTGCTTTTCCATCTTGCAGCATCTTGTAGTATACTCTCTCTCTCCTAAGTGGATGGCAAGACATAAGAAGGGCTTCTCAAAGTTTTTCCACTTCCTTGAGTTTTTATTATTGCTTTTACAAAACTAATTGTTGTGAGGAAAAAATGCTGTACTTGTTCCACCTCTCTCTATAGCTTAAGGCTGTGCTGGGGCTAATGCTGATATAGCTGGGACGTTTCAGTAACCAGCAGATTCCATATTCTCACTGAAAGTGTGTAAAACTTAAATACTGTTCTTACAAGTGGTAAAACTATTAAAAAAACAAAACCAGATTGTTTACCATCACCAGTATCAAATTTCTTAACAGGTACAAAGTTTGTCCCAAATAAAAAGACAGCTATTGCAGAAGAGGTAAAGCCGATAGTGAGATCTGTTCCACTGCTGTTGACGAAACTGTTATTTGCTGTCCAGCTGTTCATTTCTGTTCTGAAAATGCTTCTTGTTGTGGTGCTTGTTTTAATGAAGATCCTTTCAGACAGCTTCTGGAAACAGAGACCAGAATTAAATAAATATATGTCATTGGATCATAGCAGTCCTAATGGGGTATGATTTTTAGTAATGTAGGGGTTTAAAAGGTCCTGCTTTCTACTTCCCAACAGCTGAAAACAATTGTAAGGAATAATGTAGCCTAATGAGCTACCACCATAAAATTTAGATAAGGAAGAAACTAAAGGAATACACATTAAATATCTCATCTCAAAAGCAACTTCAAGCAGAAGAGCACATGGAGATATAAAACATGAGTAGTTAGAGAACAGACACAGCCATAATACAGAATTATGAATACTCAAATGTATCCAGCTTAAGGGAAGGCCGGTGCTTTTTTATGGACAGGTGCTAATATTGGAATGATCCTAGCTCCAGAATGTTGCTATGGGAGACTGCCTGGAACCAAGCAGGCTGATGTCTTTTGGGTTTGCATGACAGCAAGTATTAGGCAATTCAATGCAATCATCTTCCTCTGGTGGAGGAAGTCTTGGCAGTGAGACTCACATTGCCTAGAAACCAGAATGGAGGGGAAGGTGGGCAGCAGGGCCAGCTCCAGGCACCAGCTTAACAAGCAGGTGCTTGGGGCAGCCAAGGGAGAGGGGCGGCATGTACGGCAATTCGGGGGCGGCAGGTCCCTCACTCCCTCTAAGAGCGAAGGACCTGCCGCCGAACTGCCGCCGCCGATCGCGGCTTTTTCCCCCAATTGCCACTGCCGGTCATGATTGCGGCTTCTTTTTTTTTTTTTTTGCTTGGGGCGGCAGAAACGCTGGAGCTGGCCCTGGTGGGCAGTGCAATGATTCCACAGAGCCAGTATGGAAGCCCAGGCTTAAAGCTGTTACAATCCATGGAGTTTAAGGTGCCCTGGGTTATTTTTCTGCAGAAAGTAAGGGGGAAACCCATAAAGTTTCTTCCTTAAATCTCCATGGAAACTTTTGGGAAGAACGCAGTGAGGGAAAGCTTGCAGAGTTTTTCTTCACCCCATAGCCTCACTCCTGTGGAGTTTCCCCAAGGGAAGGGCTGCTCTGGACCTATTTAAGTAAAATTCTTCTGAAATGTAATCTAGTCTTAGTGAGGGGAAAATGGCATTTCATATTCTTTTATTGTAGATTTAAGAGAGAGTTTAATGTAAAGCTATTTCCTGGGTTTTTCTTTATTTCAGAGGAAGAAGAGCTGTGTTCCCCCACGTCCATTCCCTTACTTTACCTCACCTTCTCCAGAATCTCACTATCAGTTCTGTTGGACAGGCACTATCATCAACTGCTGCAGCAGAGTCACAGGTTTTGCTTGAAACTAGTGATTTGTATCGTCAGGTGAAAAGTTCACTCTCCACAAGGAGCGAAACGAATGTAATTATTTAAATGTTTCCCTCTGGAGGATGTTGCAGTGTTTTCTCTTTGAACACCCAAGAAAAAAAAACAGGAGGCTGGAGTAGCAGGTACCCCACCATGAGAAGAGCATGGGGTAACTTACTCCACCTTTCTAGGCCTCTGTTATCCCTCACATGCTTTGTCTGTCTGGTCTATTTAGAATGCAAGCTGTTTCAGAGAGTTTTTACTGTATTTTGCTATATGTTTGTAAATACCCCCCCCAGCATAATGGAACCCCATTCTTGGCGAGGGCATGTAGGCACTACTGTAATGCAACTAATAACACTGGTCTACAATTTTTGAGAAGT